GGGGGATACTAGGAGTTTAGATTATAGCTCACATAGCGACTCCCGTTCGACAACAGCACCCAGACCCGGTTGCGGCTTTTGTATATTGCTTTTCTCAGCAAAATGCAACAACTGCTCCGAACAGTATCCCTTGCAACTGCAACCAAAATCATAAGCAACCACTTCACTCCATGAAAGCTCCAAAGCCGAAAACTATCTTAAGAGTCAGCGCATACACGCAACAGGCATAACTGAGGGAGTACAAGCGCTGATCTCGTTGCTGAGTAACCTGCGACTGTCAACGCCAGCAGGACATCTGTACAGCTTTCCCCGTGCGCCCTAAATCCCTAAACCCTAAACACAAAACCATATTGCCCTGAAGTGAGGTGATCGAGCACGTAGACCCGGCGCTTGCCCGCCGCTGGGCTTGACATTCTCAGACCTTGTATATAGCCTAGAATCCCTGTATATTCCCTACTTTCCATTTCATTTTCCATTTTCTTTTCCATCATTTGATTCTCCATTATTGGGCTCCAATATGATCCGTATATAACTAGGGTTTAGGGTTTGGGCTGGTTCCAGATGAACCGATCTACGAGGAAGCCTACAACCTTAAGGTCATGTCAAACATATGTCCAAGCTGATCTACATTCACATCACAGCGGGTTTACATGTTCTCACAGGCGCCAGAGGTGTAGCATGTTATTGCTGCACGCTTTCTTGCATCCCGTTCTGAAGGCTCCATTAAAGTCAGATTTGCTGTAGCTGAGCTTCCCTGGGTTCTAGTTATGTTTGCAAGTGATCATTTTCGTAGTTGTCGCATAGCATCGAAGTAGCACAGTAAGGTATCATGATACTGAGTTATGCCAGATCAGTTATGTTCACAGTCAGGGTTTCCGCATATACACACCTGGAAAAAACCTCGGCATGGCTAGCTGGAGCCTGAACAGCGGTGGTGGACGCCATGAGGTGTTTTGACGAAGAGTACGTCCTGACACGGGCGACGGTAGCGAGGCCGGATGTGATACGTCTGAGCCCCCGAAAAGGGCCATAACCCAGAACTAGGAAGGCTTGTCGAAGTCAACGGCGCCAAAGACACAGAAAGTGCCGTTGACTTGCGAGACTGTGCAGAAGTCACTAATTGCCTCGGAAGCGGCAGGCCAAGCAAAAGCAGCGGGGTTGCAGTGTGGAGCTTCAAATCTATTCCGAGTCTGCATAGGTTTCTGATGTTCATGCGCTAGCTCTCCACGCTTCGACGGGTGCAGGTTTTGGTTTCTGCAGCTCTTTGTCTCTTGTAGGGCAGCAAACAACTTTCCGTGGAGATATTTGGATTAAGCTCTGTACGAACCGCATCAAGTTGTCACAGGGCAAGTGGATGTGCAACGACAACTCCTAGGGACACTTCTCATGGTGGGCATGGACTTGCACTTGTCCAAACTGTCAATGCTTGAGCTTCTACTTGTTCAAATGGTAGTTTCCCTAAATAGGGGAACACCAATATAGACCCTAGAATACTATAGTCCGTATTATAGGGACCCCCAAAAATGGTACCCCTAATTTTGGGAATCTACCAGAAGTTCTCTTTTGCTGCTGCCTCTTGCAAGCGTAAGCTGCGCACCGAACTGCGATAATGCGCTGTGGGGTGAAGCCATGGCGTGGATTGACCAGGCCTGTGGTTCGTGTTGCGTGGCTCGGCAGCAATAATGTAATAATGGAAATAACGGTTAAGATCGAAATAACGGTTAAGATCAATTAGGTGAGTTTGTGTTTGATGCGCTGAGAGGATGGAGCGCAGGTAACCATAAGCTCTTACTCTCCAAGCGTATTAGCCACAACCCCAATATACTATGTTAAGGGTTTAGGGTTTAGGGTAGTTTCCCTATATAACCCCTATGTATTCCCTATTCTACTATAGTAGTTTCCATTTTCTTTTCCATTACCCCAGTATAACCGCAATGTAGATCTCGAAAAAGTTATGGCTTGTTGTGTTTAAGGTCGAATGTTTCTTACACTTGCAGCACGGCTCCATGTACATTTCATGGTTTGCTGTAAGCCAGTGAAGACACCAGGAAACTCAGCATTTGAGAGTCTACCTGCAGGATTCCTAGAGAGGGCTTCAGAATGTCAGAAGCACCCGTACTTTTTGGGAGTGTAGAGGAATGTTCAGCTTGAGAGTAGGAGTTCATGAGCCCTGGTAGACAGTAGCAGTGACAGAGACAAGGGTCAGAAGCTGTGTTTCACAAAATTTGTGTTCCAATTTTGGGGTATTCTAAAGAAATGGTCCCAACTATGAAAGGGTATTCAAGAGCCCTAATTCCAACGAGGAACCCAGCAATAAGAGCCTTGACAATAATTTGTGACTATCGGCTTGTGTTGCCAAAGCTGTTCTTGAAATATGTGCCGTCCTGGCAGGATTTTATGACACTAAGCGTCGTTTGGTACCCCAACCCCCTTCAAGACTAGGATCTCATAGCACTGGGGTTTAGGGTTTTAGGGTTTTAGGGTTTAGGGTTTGGGGCGGGTTGAGGTTACCAAAGAGTCCTCATTTCTACCCCCCGCTGCTATCTGGCTGTTATGACTTCCTCAGGGTCTTAGCCTCCTTGCAGCAATGTGGGATGTAGAAGACAAAGCTCTCAATTTCTGAGTGCTAAGGTTTTTGGGGGTTAGGGTTTAGGGTTACATTGGGGTTATATAGGGTTAATGGAAAAGAAAATGGAAGCTTGTGTGTAATTTGGGGTTTAGGGTTAAGGCATGCACAGGGATGTTACGAAGGGAGAGAGGGCAGTCTGTTTTTTTGTGGCCTGAAGCGTCAAGAAAGGGTTGTCACTTTTCATACCAGAGGTGGTTTTCGGGCTTGCCATGGCGAATCGGTGCGGGGAGGAAGGGGGGGGGATAAGATCCTGGGCTGTTGTTCTTCATCTTGAGCTAACTACAGGCTGGGGACGTGTGACCAACAAGCACCATGAGGGAAAGAGGACTGGGAACATGAAAAGAACATCGCGACGCGATTTCTGGAATATAATGCACCTTGTTTCACAAGGAAGAAATCGCCTGAAACCGTGCTACATCATGATGAATCGCACGAAATCGCACATGAACACTTGCTTACGAAAATGAACAAGTACGAAAACATGTGCGGAATGATAAACTTCCGAAAAATGTGGACGAGCACAATCACGTGCGCTTAGTCACCTTGCGTTGATTAAGAAGTGACAGCCTTTTAACGATAGCGTGTAAGCCCCAGAAGGCAAACAGCGTTCGAGTCTATGGTGGAGGGTTCAAGGTCTAAGGTTTTAGGGATTCAAGTCCTACTTATGCCTGCTTCTTATTTGCTTTTCAGCGCGGGCCGCATACGTAGTCGTAAATAAAGACAGACCAGTGGAAACGCCCGAGCGTCCGAAAAGACTCAAAACTCTGCGAGGCGTTCTCCTCGATTTTGATTCCTTTTCTTCCTAGCCACAAGTTCGCTCAAACGAGTAAGCTCGTGCTAAAGTCAGAGCGAACCGCACAAAACGGCACGTGAGCATTTGTCAACAAGAACAAAAGGTGTCAACAAGTGCGTACAGTTTTGGACCGGTTGGAGTTCAGAGACCTCAAAACAATCTCGACGTGCAAGAGGCAGTGCTTTCAATCAAATCGCAGAAAAATGAAAAGTTTCACGGCCGCATGTGCGCAACACGCCTTGTTGTCTGATTCTTGGGATCGGCCGGGTAATAGGCATCCCGACAGTCCATCACTAGGTGCAGGGTTTGCACTTCTCTAAATTGCCTGAGACGTAAAGTCGACGTTGGGACTTGCAGATGTGTTTCAGGATAACTATAGTTGGAAGACAATTGCAAGTACACACGCATGCCGAGAATTAGGGACTCCTTCAAGAGGATGCCAACAATCGATCCATGTGTTCAGAACCTCCTTGTACGTCCCATAGAAATGGACCCGAGTTTTCAGAACCCCTCATATTACTGGGGCTGTATGTACAGCAATGCTCACGTTGAGCGTGGCTGACTTTTGTATTTGAGGGTGCTGACAAAGGTCCCGTATGTCAGAACATTTAGTCAAAGAGAACCATCAACCAGGGCTTTCGTTGAGTGTGGAATCAATTCTGGGCAGGAATTTATTTTCACCGTGCCACCCTAAGCACCCTTTGCAAATGCAAGGAGTTACAATGGTTCAGGGATTTTCCCGGTGCAAGGTTTACTTATTGGTATTATCTGATTGGTATGGGCAAAGGGTGTTGTTGCGACGCCTAGCTTCTTTCATTGCTTGGATGAGGCCCCCCAATGGTCCATGTGCAGGAGAGAGAGTTGCGCCCACACTCCCCTCTCGCCCCCTATGACAGTGTATCCAAACCTGCTTACTGGGGGTTAGTAGGGAATCAGGGAAGACATTTTACAGGGATTTTGCAGGAATTATATTCCCTTATTCCCTATTAGCCACCAGTAAGTATGACAGCGGACTCTGGCCTGAAAACTGCAAGAAACTTCTTATGCATGTTTGCACAGGTGCGGGTCATCAGGATGTTGACATAGAGAAGCCTGCCTGGTCAGAAGAGGCGCGGATGCTATCTAAAGCGTCGGCCTAAATCCTAATTCCGGGTACCGTCATCTACCCATACCTTTGGGGGAGCTAATGAGCTAGGCATAGTCTATATCAATATAATAAGGGGAGCTAAAGAGCCGAGGAATCTCCAAAACCATAGGGCAGTCATGATTGCTTGGATTCTAGGCTGCTCCTCATGATGTCCTTCCAGGAAATCTAGAATCGCGAGACCCACAACGGACACCCAATTCTTGACCTATCAGGAAACACCTGGGCCGGACACTTCCCTCAAAACCAAGCAAATGGGCCATGGGGTTTCTGCTAAAAAGTTTCATGACCATCTGATGGGGAACACTTGTGAAGTGCCGTGATTCTTCGAAGCGTTCTGCCTCTTTGCCACTGAAAGCAGTCCATGCTCTCGGCAACTGACCGTCAGGCCCGAGTGAAAAGGCTCTGGCCTGTTAGCGTTCCAAAGCCTCACAATGCGTGTCTTGCTAGCGCGGCAAGTGACTCTCTGGGTCTTGCTGAGCCTATGTAGACCTGGCCTGTGCAGCTCAGACTGCGCTGGAGCCAACGATGCATTCTGCGCGGTCCAAGCCCCTATCGCAACGAAGGCCCATCGTTTTGAAAAGGGTACCATGGTCTGTTTCGGGGACGACTGCCAAAGTCCCCTTACGGCGTACGCCTGGAAAAAGCACTGGCAGAACTATTTGGCGTTGGGAACTGACAGCAAGCTGCAGGGCCCGCTGGACCATTGCTGCCCAGCTTGCGATAGCATCCTGACGCAAGGCTGCAGTAACTCACGCAAGGAGGAGCACATCTTTGTAAGCCATATCCGGCCTTTCATGCACCAAAGCAAAAACACACCCCCAGTGTTTGTAGAGCTGGGTGGTTTCGATGGCTGGTATGAGACCAACACACACTTCCTTGAGAGCTGTCTGGGTTGGAAGGGCCTCATGATCGAAGGCAATCCCGAAAACTTCAAGATCCTTCAGCAAAATCGTCCGAACACGGTCAAGATCAGCAGCGCAATATGCAACGAGACCACCACGGTGACCCTCCAGGGCCCAGGTGGTGCGACTCATGTTGCTGATGAAGGAGGTGTTGTGCCTTGCGCCCCTCTCCAGTCATTCTTCGACATGCTTGACGTCCAACATATCAGCTTCTTCAGTCTTGACGTTGAAGGGTACGAGCTGCATGTGTTGAATTCCATCGACTGGCGAAAGGCATCAATTGCGGCGCTGGTGGTCGAAGAGATCCAGTTTGGAAGGCACCCGGAGAAGAACGAGGCCGTCAGGAAGTTTCTACAGGCTGCAGGCTACCACTTGTTGGGAGCCAGTTGCTGGAAGCCAGAGTGTTGCGATTCGTTTTGGATCAACAAGCGCTTCGTCGACGTCGAAGCCGCCGAGCAACATCTACTTCAGAACCCATTTCCCGGCACGTATCAGATTAACAAGTGCCGTCCCAAGAACATCAAATCTTGAGTGCTTTCATGGGTCGAGATGCCCACAAGGAAGTCTGTATTAGGCGCCATCTCCACAAGTGAGGACGCGACATGTGAGACATATCCTCTGATGCAAATGAGCTGAAAACACAAGTAGACCCTCATGAGGCCCCGCTTCTTCGCATCACAATATGGGACGTTCTCTTTCCCCTTTGTACTCGTTATATGAAGTTATATGGACAATAGGAATCCCGCTGTAGGACTCACTAAGCATGGATCCATTTTTCCACAGCAGGGAGTTTCTATCAACTGCCATCTGGAGTTCTTTGAGGGGAAGCCTCCCAAGTTTGGGTTAGTAAGGTCAGAGTTCTTGTTGGGAGTTGTTGGCAGGAGGGGCCCAACACCCCATCAAAGGCAGCAATCCAAATAGAGTGCCAAAGGCCTCCGAGCTCGATGAAGGATCGGATTCTTGAACTCCAAAGGCGTCCGCTGAAAGGGTTGGTTAGGAAAGTGCCCCTCTCCTACATTGTCTGCGCGTCCTTCGTTCTGTTCCTGAATATGTCATGCATGTTGTCGTTGTCGTGGCGTAAGGGTCCTGCTCTAGGAACTGGCTGCCAAGGGTTGACGAATTCTGCAAGCACCTTGTCACTCCTTGCTGGAGTCCCCCGGGAATGACTTCAATCCTTGCAGTGCTTATGATTCCAAAGCTCCTTAGCTTGAAATCAGGTTCTCCAGAAACACCCACATGCCCTTCAAACAGGAGATTGAGAGACAGAGAGAGAGAGACTCAGAGAATCACAAAAAGAAAAGCAGCAGATAAGGCCGCTTGGTGTTTTGATGCCATGTGGATTGTGGTGCATGAGCCAAACGCGCAGGTCCGCAAGGCCCACAGCCGCCGCTATGCGCCCCCTTCTCGGCCCTGGGATGCCAGCTTTGCCATCCTGTGGTCTACGGGGAGTACTGAGGATGTCCGTAGGAATCATGCTAGTAACAATACTAGTGCACTAGGCCTGATCCAAGACGAATTCTTACTGTCATTGTCTTGATAGCACAGAAGACTCGAGCACACCACAGCAGTGGCCGTAATGCTACGGTTAAACTAGTAGTACATGAGCTAGCAGTAGTTAGTAGTTGTCATTGTTGCCGTCGTAGTCGTAGTCATCGTATTGGAAGAAGTCGTAGTACTGGAAGACTGCTCAGGGCGATATGGGTTTTGTAATGACAGTTAGTATTAGAGCAAGGTGATTTATAGTAGCCATAGTTGCAGGTGGGCATGGAGATGTTGCCGTTGGCAAGTTTAGTCCCTAAACCCTAAACCCTAACTAGTAGTTTCCATTTTGTTTTCCATTATCCCTATATAATCCCTATTTTGCCCTATATTAGGGTCTACATAAGTTATACAAAAGTGCAAAGATCTGTCCAAGGCGTTGGGGCGGCAGCTGAGCTGATGGTTGGGATTGGGTATATGTGGGCCTGATCCAATGTATCGAGGTATTTGAACTTAAATGTTTTGTGGTTCAAGCGGTGATTTTGCATATCTTCAGGAAACCATATGGCCTGGTATTCAGGCGTCTTACAGGTTCCATGATGCTGCATTCAGAAATCCCGGGGTCGAAGGTAGCTATGATGCCTGCATGGTACATCGTCCTGCAAAGCCTGTAAACACCATCTCAACCCGAGGCCCAGCTTGCGAACGGATGTGCCGACTCGGAAGCGGAGCAGCTGAGTGCAGCTGGAACCCCGCATGCCATAATCAGTGCCAAAAAAGAACATTCTGTTGATGAAGGACATCTTCCAAAACCTAGTGGCCTCAAGCCCCTAGAAGTCCTAGGACCAAGGATTTCGGATCCCTCAGGGTTGCAGGATTTCTTCCATCAATAGTTTTGCTTGATGACCAGATCCCTGCTTCAGTGCCTGAGAGATTGCTGGAATGAGCTGGCGAGCTAGTTTGCAATTCTTGGCACTCAATTGGCTTCTTGTCACCATGCAGACCTGGTCCTTGTTCATCTGGAGTGCTGTTACGGAACTTAAACTAATTTACCATGATGTGGCAAACCCTATTATGTATTATACACCCCTGTTATGGAAGCTTAAGTTAAGTTCCTTAACAGCAACCCCGTCATGCGCAGTGGCTCGCAGCAGCAGGGTGGGTAGCTTTGTCTAGCCGTGTGCAAACTCAGAGGCATCCATGGAATCGAAGCCATCATGGATTCAAGCATGGTTGGCTTCACTAGATCCCATTTTGGGCATCTATGCTGACAAGTTCGATGACTTTGGGTATAACAGTGAGAACATCCTCTCCCAGGCAGCCAAGGAGGACTTGGAGGCAGACTTGGCGGAGATGTCCATCAAGAAACCACACGGCCGCATGATCGTAAAGCATCATGCAAAGTTGCAGGAGGCTGCGGCAGAAACACCTAGCCCTCTCCGGGCACAGATCTCCTCACAAGGGACTTGGGAAGCCATCTTGCAAGAGTTGATCCCTTGCCTGACAGACGTAGTGGACTTTCAGCACCTCGGCATGAAATTATCATGTCCTTCCGGCAAGTTTACCTCTAAGAGCCAGTGCGCGGACTACCTCAGGAAAGATCTACCCCTTGCACAAGAGCTCGGCACCCGACGCAAGGTTTTCATTCCCATCATGTGTCTGAGATGGGCACAGGGCAAGATCCATGGGCAGATGGTCTTCACATCTGGTGATTTTAAGGACAGGCAAGACTTGAGCATGCATCCTGCTTTTGTGCAACTAGGTCTGTACTCTTGTAGGCGGGTGAGATCCAAACGAAGGGAACCAACGTCTTCAAACTCTTTCATCAGGTTGACGATTATCTGGACTCTTCTTCGTTCAAGCCATGCTTGGATTCTGGAGTGCAGCTGCATCTTGAATGAAGCTCTCAGACCCTGACCGGACTCTGCTGCTGCTTGACAGGCTCCGAATTCTCTCACTGCTGTACTTGCCTGAACCCCTGCTTCTTTTCCAACTGCGGGCTGGAGCCCTCCAACCGTGTTTGAGATGCTGGCATCTCACCCGCCATGCCCGCTTTGCAGGGCTTTTGTGGAGGGTTTTGCAGCAGACTTGACAGAGATTCTTTTTAACGTTTGCACTTCTGGTGTGAGGACCGTTCCATCTTCGAGCTTCTCGTGGATTTGGCCACTGGGCGTCAGTCAGTCGCAGACATTGAGCCCCTTGAGGTGGGGACCTGCAAGAAGCACTGGATTGCAGGTACAGCTCCATCTTGCAACAATGTGGTAACAAGTACTCCTCCTATCCGCAGCAGCTTCAAGTAGCTAAAGCGGTAGCCTATCGCAGGCTGAGGGAAGGTCTAGTATAGCTGAGAAGCCTTGCAAGCCTTGGTCATGTAGGCAGACTTGACATGATGCTGCCATGGAAACCAGGTGGTTGTGGAGGACGGCACGTTGGATGTGGTCGGCGGAAGCCGTCGGGCGACTGTCTTGAGAATGCTTCAGGGCATTTGGGGGCATGCCACGGTACGTGCCCCATGCCATCTCTTCGCTCCCACGGACCCTAAAGTGGCTAGTCGGTTTCGTGCTAAAGACACACAAACAAATGGCACGGGTATCTTGTTTCATGGGAGACAGCAGGAGGCATGGCACATGGGCAAGCCACTCTTTCGTTGTGCTCAAGAATGGTGTGATTGCCTGAACGAGCCAGTGCCACAGGATTCTTCGTCAATCGAGGCCGACGCTGGCACAGTTCCAAACAGATCCCTTGACGCATGCGGGCCCGTGAATTGTGAAGCAGGACACTTGGACATGCCACTCAAAAAAGCTGGAACCACCTACAGTGCAGGAAATGAGCAGAATGACTCTTGCCAAGACACTTTGCCAGCTATTCCCAAGTTCATGCAGCCCCAGGTGGAGGCGGAGTTCTCAACATCAATCAGAAAGACAGAAAGAGTAGAGTCCTTTGAGCTTGAAGCACAGCCCTCAGCTCAAAGCAAGGATTCTCAAGAAGGCAGCGCAGCGGTACACGGTATGGATACTGTCGTCTGCTGCATGTGGCTTCAAGGCAAGTGCTGGAAACAGGGCAATCATCGGCATGGCAGGAAATTGTTCTTGCATGAGGATGTGCCGGGAATGGCTTGTGGATTTGGCGACCAGTGCCTCTACCAGCACTACAAGTACAGAGTCGTACCAAATGCAGACACCGCTGAAGGTTCTTCCACTGCCCAAGTGCCCCATGGACAATCATGTGTGGAAACTGGGCACGAAACTCTTGATCCGAGGGTGTTGCAAGTGGGCATGGTCGTTTTCATGGCGAGTTTATGGTCCGAGTTTGGGGAAGTCATTGAGATCTCTCATGACTCGATCAAAGCAGCTGCCCCGATCAAGGTGTGCGATGTATGGTCGCGGAAGACAGCCTGGTTTTCCATTGATAGTTTGCAAGTACCGGACTACTCATCACTTTCACCGGGCTTGAGGGTAACTGTCATATGTGAAGACAAGAACTTCCTATGTGAGATCTTGCAGATCTCTGATGAGGTTTCCAGAGCAAGAGCCCCAGTTCACGTGAGCTACAACGGATACACAAAAGCAGATGCAGAATGGGTCGGGGCTGACCGATTACGTTCCAAGGCCTTGAAGTACGTTCACCCCCGATTCCCTTCAGAGTTTCAGGTGGATGCAGGGCCCAAAGCACACAGCAGAGCTTCTGATCATGGTGGTGCTGCTGTGGCAACTAGGGAGGAAACATTTGTTTGCTGTCTGTGGCTTGAAGGCAAGTGCTGGCACGAATGTGAACACTGGCTTGGAAAGAAGTTGTTCTTGCATGAGGATGTGCCCGGACTGGCCTGTGGGTTTGGTGACAAGTGCACTTACCTGCACCACAAGAACAGAAGAATCCCAGCTAGAGACACCACAGAAGGCCTTGTTTGGAAGCCACTCCTCTGTGATGAATCATGTGCGGATGCTTCAGCGGAAAGTCTACATCACTTGGTGTTGCAAGTCGGTATGCTAGTCTTCTTCCATAGCGGTCCAAAGCCGGAGTGTGGCAAAGTCATCGAGATCTCTCATGACTCGAACGAAGCAGCTGCCCCAATCAAGGTTTGCGGTGTATGGTCACAGAAGACAGCTTGGTTTGCCATTGATCGTTTGCAAGTACCGGACTACTACTCGTCACTTGAACTGGGGATGAGGGTAAATGTGGTTTGCAAAGACAGGAGCTACGTGTGTAAGATCATCGAGATCTCTTATGAAGTTTCAAGAGCAAGCGCCCCGGTTCGGGTGAGCTACCATGGAAGCACGTCAGCAGAGGATGAATGGGTCGGGGCTGACCGCTTGCGTGCGAAGGCCCTGAAATATGTTCAACCCCGTTTCCCTTCAAGATTGCAGCTGGAGACACAGCCCGCAATGCAAATCAGCAGCGCTGAGAATTGTGGATTGCCATTGCCCGGCAAGAACCTGCAGTCTTCAGACACGAGCTTGGCTGCGTTCGAGTTTCCAGCCAGTGCCCGTCCAGAACAATTTGTGCATACAGAAAGTACGAATCAGGTCCACTCTGGAGGCGAGGCAGTAATTGCCCCTGCTTTTCGATCTTGTGATTCTTTGCCCTGGCATGCAGAAATCGATGAGGATGCTATCATCCTGGATCGGGCCATTGAGGCTGTGGCCATGGCCTTGAAGGAAGAGGGACAAGGAGGTCCCAGGCAGCGCCTACTTGAACAGGCTCTTGGTCCTCTCGCGGCTTCATCTTTGGTCGGGTGTGTTTTGGCCCAGCATGGGTGGACCGGGAGTCATTTTTCTCTGGCACCAGAGCTTCAAAAGCTGTATGATCACCTTGTGAAGACGCGGTCTGACTTGTTTGAGGGTGGTTCCAGTTGCGCGGGCGTTGACTATGACTCGGATGCCGAGCTCCCAGCCGAGGCTTCAGAGGTATTTCTTGAAGTGGAGAATGATGCGGCCTCCAGCTGTGCCATGCAAGCAGACAGTTTGGATGAGATAATTGACAGGCAGCAGAACACGATCAACAAGCTCACTGGGACATTGATTTGTGGCACCTTCCGTTGTGTAGCAGCTAGCTCAGAAGGAAAGCTCAAGCACTGTGGTGAGGTCATCGTGGAGCGCGGTCCCGCTCCTCTTCTGGGCTGCAAAGTTCGGATTCCTGCAGGCAAGAGTCGGGGCAATGCTTGGGACTGCGACCGCTGCTATGTGCGTATTCTCGTGGCCGCAGTCTCAGTTTTGTGACGTCGATGTTTTTGTGGAGGTTCAGCATGTCTTGATAAATGGTCCTTTTTCACCTAGACTGGGCTAAGGGCCTCTTCTTCCCAGCAGAGGGCGCTCCGCGCAAGATGCAGGAAGCCTTTACTATGCAAGAGATTTGCAGGACCGAGCCTAATGCCAGCCTGACATGTCCAACGTTCGTGTAACTCTGGCGTATGCGGTTCTATGGTTCGGATCGCTTCTGAAACACTTCGGTAATGTCAGAACTTAGCTCGCTGTCTTGGGCTTCGGAGGTTTCCATGGTTCTTCAGTAAGATTTTGGTGTGTGCAGGATACCTCCATCAGGGTATTTTGACGTTGAGTGGAGACTGCTCCTGCAGTCGTCCGGGTTCTCAGTTCATGTCACATGTCAAGCTAGCTGCAATTGCAAAGTCAGTGCATGCAGGACTGAGCTGTATGGCCGCATTGTTCATTCCAGAGAACGGGGGGTTCCCAGGCAAAGGCTCTTTGTCTGCTCCAAGTCCAAGAAGATGAGTCATGAGAGGTATGTGGCCTTCAAGGCCATCAACGGAAAGCTGCCTCCCATCCAGGTAAGCTGGCCAAAGGGCACACTGCCTCCAAGCATTTCTGATCTGCATGTCGTGGAGGTGCGCAGCTGGGAAGGTGACCGGCCACCGAACGGAAAGTACATCAAGAGTTTGAAGATGGATGCCCGAAACTCTGATGCTGCCATCCTTGAGCCAGTTCAGATCTCCATGAACTTCTGTGATTGGGTGCAGAACCCACCAGCCTCTGAACATGGCTGTCTTCCGCAGTTGGATGTTGCCTCCCGAGTTGACCTGCGCAATTCCGGCCCTATGGTTGGCATTCAGCATAGCGGCCTCCCTGCCAGCGTGCTGGTGTCTTGTGAGCCAGGTACATTTGTGCAAGTCCATGTGCTCGACGTCAATGCATACCTTGAGAGTGGCGAGTTGCAACAAGTGCAGGAGGTTGTTCAGCGTCGGGCAGTGGGAGTGTGGTTCATGGATCATGAGGACCTTCCTTTGGATGCCAGCCTTCCGCTGTTCCCGCCATATCTTGAGAAGGAGCTGAGTTTCAAGGAGGGCTCTGAGCGCGTTGCGGTCACCTTCACCTTCCCGCTCACCGAGCGCCAGGCCGTTGACTTTCAGAAGGTTGAGGTCTCAGAGACCCTTGTGCAATGCCAATCCCTCCTCAGTCCGAAGGGCGCAGGCTCCATGATCATAGGCGAGACAGATGGAGGTGAGGTCGGCACGACGCTTCGGCTGTTGGCTGACTATGCTCAGAAGTTTGAGCGCTCAGAGATTGCCAGGGAAAGCCTTGCTGTGTTCGAGCATCTCAATATCGACTTCACAGAAGATTGCCGTGATCGTGTTCCCGAAACCTTTGCACAGCTTGTCAGTTGCCGCATGATGCGAACACTCATGCACCTGGTTGACCGGCATGTTGGACGTTGCTTAGACGGCACAAATTGGTCTGGACTCCTCAGCCCTGCTGACTCGTCTTTGCCAGTCACTGTCAAGTATTCACATGCCCGGCCAGACCCCTCCACGTGGAAGGTGATGGAGCGCTTGCTCCGCAGCAAGCCATGTGAGGGCCGGAACAACCTCACGGTGAAGGATGCTGTGCAGTCCTTGATGGACATCCTGGAGCAACCTGGCATCTCTTACATGCAGAAGCACTGTTTCCAGTCGTCCTTCGTTCGGCGACTCAGGAATTCATTTCCGCAGCCGTACTATGAAGTGCTGCCATTGTCTTCAGAAATTGAGCATGCTGAGCCGTTGGTGACCCCCGCTTGCAGTTTCTTCCGTCACGAGCGTGTCTTCCATGTGACCGCACCCCTTCAGCGCAACCTGGATATCCTTGGCATGCGAGCGCTGAAGTTTCAGCTTGGCCTCATGAGGCCGCGGGACCACATGCTGCTGAAAAAGCAGGAGTTGCAGGGGGCAATCGCCCGCGCAAATGCCAGGACAAGTGCTCACAACTTCGGGCTGCACATTTTCAGGATGATTTCATGGATGAAGGAGCTGTCCCTGGGACGGGAAGTGTCGGATGCTTTGATTGGAGCAGTTGGGCCAAGCTACATCAATGTTCTGGTTCCTACGCCGTGTGCTCATATCCTGGAGCTGAAAGTGCCAGTTGCAGCACTGTGCGGCGATACTTTTGCTTCGGACTATGATGTCTCCACGCAGTCGATCATGCTGACGAATGGAGCTTCGCTTGAGCATAGACTTGAAATACGCACTTGGTATTTCCCAAGACTGATGTGCACCATTTCAAGAAACTCTGCACAGCCAATTCCACATCATGCAGCTGCCAACTCTGTGATCGTGACGCACTTGGATTTCAAAACAGAGTGGGGTCCTGAGACCACAACCACATTTCCTGTGGGCCAAAGGATGTTCCCTGAAATGTTTTCCTCCTGTCCTGATCTCACTGAGTGGGCAATCATGGACCGTCGTCTGGAGAAGTATTCGGAGCTCTGGGCGCGAGTTCGGACATGCCAAGTTCATGCGGCAGCTGTGAATGGCTCTTCTTACACACGTCCTGCCAGAGTAGACAGCATCACCTGGCGCAAAGACGGCGCGACGTGGTACTTCAAGTGTCGTGTGGAAGTTCCCCTAGCTCAATACCAGAGGCTTCATGAAGACGACCTGGCTGTGCTCACTTGCCAGCACCAAGATCGCATTTTGGAACTGCGAGGTGTGATTGCCGAGGCTTGGGTTGTTAGGTGGCGCAAGGCCCACGATCAGCCTTCTGGAGCACAGGCCTTCATGGTAGAGGTGAAGTTGTCGCAAGCTTGCTATGCACTTAAGGAGACGCACTCAACCTGTGTTGGTGTCGGTGCCACCTTCAACCTGTACTTCATCTTTGTCCCACGGAACGAGAAGAAGAGCATTCGCATGCTGCAGGCCATCCCCAAAACTCCCCCGCTCCAAGGGATGCCTTTGACTTCAACCAGGACTACTGTGCAGCAGAAGCGAGAGTTGGAGATGCGACCCCTTCTCACCGTGCAGCAAGTCAAGCTTACTCTTGACAAGCCTGAGTATCGCGTGCAGAGCTGCAAAGGCCTGAATGACAAACAATTGCTTGCTCTGAAACGCGGGTTGCAGCAGCCATTTACAATGGTACAAGGCCCGCCTGGCACAGGCAAGACCTCTTTGCTCGAGCGATTCATCGTGGCGGCCGTGTCCATTGTTCCCGGCAAGGCTGGCGGAGATCGTCCTCGCATTTTGGTTTGTGCGCCATCCAACCAAGCTGCAGACCATCTGCTCGATAGATTGATCAGAGACACTGACATTCCAGATCATTACATCACCCGTGTGTACTCCAGGTCTATTGAGCAGGAAGATGGAAGCACCTACGCCAACCGCAATTCAAGGAGCGAGCGAAAGTTTGATATTCAGAGCCATCTTCGTGAGTATGCTTTGCACGAGAAAGTGAGTCGAGCCTCTCATGTGTCCTCAGGTCATGCAGAGCTCAGCACGGTGCATCCAGCCCGAGACCGAGCGCATGAAATGGCGGAGAAGAAGGTGCTAGAGCAGAGCTACATTGTTATCACAACTTGTGCCAACTCCTACCTTCACACTTCGCTGAGTCGCGGCGAGCAGCAAGACAAGGTCCGCCCAATCTCTTTTCATACCGCAGTCATTGATGAAGCCGCGCAGGCGAGTGAGCCTGATGTGGTGCTGGCCGCAACACTTGCAGCTCAGCGCATTGTGGTTGTGGGCGATCACCAGCAGCTGGGGCCTGTTGTTCCCGAACGGAACCTTTGTGCAGCATATGTCAGTGCTTTGGAGACCCCATTCCTTGAGCGCATGACGCAAAATCCTCGTCGTCTGCGCATGAGTACCATGCTGGATGTGCAGTATCGCATGCACCCCTCAATCCGCAGCTTCCCATCTGCGCAGTTTTACGAGTCCAAGCTTCAGGATGGAGTTTCAGTGGACTACCGGCCAAAGCTCAGATGTCTTTGGCCACAGGAACATGAGCACCGGCTTTTCATCGATTGCAGCACACCACAATCCAAGGACCGAAATTGTTCAGCGCAGTCGATGCAGGGTATGACTTCCTTGAAGAATTCGGGGGAGGCTGATGTCGTGTCGGCGGTGTGTGCTTGTCTACTGGAGCAGGGTTGTTCAGGTGCTGACATGGCGGTACTGACACCTTACACATCTCAACAGCATGAAATTCGTGCCAAACTGGAGCGCAGTGTTGGCCACGACAGGTCCCACAGTATCCTGGTGGGGACAGTGCATGCTTTGCAGGGCTCAGAAAGAGAATACATCATTCTGAGTTTCGTGCGCAGTCTTTCTGAGGAGGTTCAGGACATTTCGCCGTCCAAAGAAGCATTTTCCAAGGGAGACTCCATGGCACTACGGGAGCTTCGAATGCAGAACCTCGGCATAGTGTCCAATCGCAAGCTTCTCAACGTGGCTCTGACGCGCGCAAAGTATGGTCTTGTCTGTGTTGGTAACAAGGATGTGCTCAGCAGTGGGTCCAAAGACTTCTTGGATTTGATCACGAGCCTTGAAAGTCGCAGATGCCTCATGGGCAGAGAAGCATTCCTCCAGAGGATCAAAGGAAACCGATGGGCCCGAAAGGGCAAAAGACTCGCTGCTCCACCAGCCATCCGACCTGAGGATTCTATTTCCCAAGTGGCAGTGCGCCCAAATGTTTTCCAGGATGACGAGATTGAGCATTCGGAAGTTTCTGTGGCCGCAAGCTCGATTTCGGTCCTCTCGGAGTGTGGTCACGGACCAAAATGCTTCCTGCGTGGGACCTTGCTGCCAGCTGCGAGCGGGCTGAAGGTTCCTGTTGAATGTGTCGATGTGGGCACTCGCATCTCAGCAGCAGGCAATGCCGGCTTAGCTTTGCAAGTGACCACGGTGACCCGTCATGATAATGAGCACACCGGCTTGGTTCAGATAGAGACAGACTCCGCTTCCATTGTGGTAACTTCCACTCACTTGATTGTTATGGCAAATGGCGAAAGAAGGCAAGCCAGCGGAGTCGTGCAGGGTGAAGTTGTGAGCACGTCCGGAGGTCGAGCTACCGTTCCCTCCTTACAAGACTTGATTCCTTGGCGAGTTTGCAGCAGGAAAGCTTGCTTTCTTTCTCCTTAATTAGTCACGTGTGGATAATGTTCCGAGGTCGCTCGAGTGCAGCAGTATGCAGCTTCCGTTGACATCTTCCAGGTGGTGTTCCATCCAGATGAACCTGTAGAGGCTCGTTGTTTCCTGATGCCTGCCATGTGTAACAGCAAGGCGCCCTGTGGTTGCTTGCATAGCACGCGGTATCAAGGGACAGATTCAATCATGATGCTGCAGGCCAGCTTCCCATCCCCGCACCAGATTTGGACATGTGGCCATCCTCCGCCCTCACCTCGCAGGAAACACGGCAAGGGAAAGGCCTGGACGTTTCCGTTTGCAACAGAGCTTCATGAGGGATACGATCCGAATCAACTGCAGGACTTGCAGAGCCAGGCTTTGCCACCTGCTGGGAAGGCAAACTTCAAGGGCAAGGCCTTCTCGACGGTTTCTGAAAGCCTTGAACCTCTTTAAAGATTGTTTGTCCTGCATGCGTTCTGGAGAAGATCTCAACTGCGACCTAGTCTCATTATTGCGCTTAAGCTCTGAGTGGGGGTGGCTCTTCCGTTTTGCTTGTATGAAATTAGTACTGTCATCATCCTTTTGTTTATTGCTCTTGTCATTGGGAATGGTATCTAATGCCGGCAGGGCACTGGATTCACTCGGCGCTCCGGCCAGAACCGGCGTCCGGGATTCCGCGAAGAAGCAGGCTGGCTCATAGGGCCATGCGAGCAACAGCCCAGCATCCTTCAAAATAGGTTTGGGTCTATGGGGCTTGAGGATGTAATGATGAGGGTTGTATACCTTTCGGTAGGAGTTTCATGTTTGGGCTGTGAACAGGAAGTTGTTTCTGTTGCAGGGTTCTTACTGGGACCCTGCACTCGTTCTAATGTGGTAGCGCAATGGGGTTAGTCAAGCTTGTTCTTCACAGTTCCGGCCGGGACCTGCGTGCTAGAAGGGCTTCTGTATGGCCCTGTATGGCTTGTGTATATGACAGTACATGAAGCAACTGTATGTCGGGAGCGCCCTGAATGAATGCTGTGCATGCTTGTTCCACGCACAGAAGGCCAAGGGGTTCTTGAAACGCAAAACCCGAAATCTAGTTCCAGAGCATCGAAGACGAGGGTGTGTTCTTAAGGAATCCACTCACGAGGATCCGAGGTCATCTCACCGTGGCTTGTGGGCATCTTTTACAAAAGCAGGTGTAATAGATCTTCAGGTCCGTGTGCCTTGGTGCTGTACCAGTGATGCTGATAATGACGACCATGGTCGTCGAAGTGATGGTGAGGTGATTGGACAGGGAAAAGAGAGTGTCAACGGCTGGTTATGTGGGCATGGTTGGTTTGGAAGAAGTGGAAGTCTTAACATGAAAAGATCATGATCGTCCTCCTTTCGTCCTCACCATGATCATAGCTATCACACTATAGTCCCCCTTAAGTAGATAGAATATGGCTTTTGGTACATTATAATAAGATCCCTATAGACCCTATATTCTATCTACTTAAGGGGGACTATATCCCTATGAAGGTCATCACCGTCTCCAGCTGCACTGTGAGTTCCAGCTTCAGCTTCATCTTCACCTCGCCGTGTGAATCCAGCATTCTTCGAATTCTACGATTGTCAGTGCTAGGTCTTGATTCCCTTGTTTGGCTCAGCCACTCAAGTTTGAGAGTGAATACCGTTTTGATCTTGGGGTATGAGCCATAGTCTAAACTCCTAGTTTCCCCCCAGTAACCCCATAGTAGTCCCCTGAATAATCCACCATTAAGCTGTTTAGATCACAGTCCACAAAAATGCTTAGCAACTACTGGTTCGACAGGCGAGGGTTCAGGAGATGCTCCAAGCGTTGCCGCGAGGACCTACAACTCCTTTGATTGAAGCTTCTTGGATGCATGAGTTGAAGCGGTTCCCCTGAACACTGGGCTCTGAACCAATCAAAGCAGCATCTTCTGGCAGTTAGCAACTTCTAGTTGGATCTTGCTGTTCTGCAGCAAGGGGTTGTGACAGAATCTCTGTAGTCGGGGTGCGTGAGAGACGCGGCAATCTTTTCTCCGACGTTTGTGTGCAGATTCTACCATTGGAGATGAAGCCATGCGATTCAGGGGCGCAAGGGTATTTGTCTAAAATGAGGTGCCTTTTGGCTGTCCCCCTAAACGTTTTGCCGGGAAAGTGCTTCTTCCCGCCATTGAGATGTAGCCATGCGGGGTGCGTTGCTTGGATCCTGCCGTCGATTCAGTGGATGCCTTGAGGATGATGAAATCCCGCCGGTCTGAATGAAGAGAGAGAGCTGCTGCTTCCACTAAATTCAGCTTCGAGCTGCTGCAAGTAGGAATATCTCAAAATTATGGTCCGCCTCCTTGGGTCTGTGTAGCAAATCATAGATCCAAGGATAGGTGTCAGCGGGGACCTTTTTTTTGAGCTATGTGCACTCTGGCAGTGACGCATTGTGCGAGCACGCCGAAACCCAAACATCTCGTGGCAGTGACATGCTGATAGTGGCATGAGCACGCAATGCATGAGCTGACGCTGGCATTCCAAAAGCTGCGTACATGTCATCAGCATGCATCTGATTGGACAAAAGGAAAAGTCATGCATGACTTTTCCCAAGATACAATACTTTAAATCATTAGCACCCTACCTGATGCTAGACTCAGTTTCAAGATCATTCGGCGTTCTGGCTCACTTTCAGGGGGTTTGGGGATGTTCGGGGCATAAAAGCAGCTTGTTGGATGCTTGTGCAACTCATGCACGGAATGCAGGAGGGTATGCGACAGAAGCCTCTTCGCTTCTACACGGCTCCCAGAACAACCAACAATGCAGAAAGTAAGCAAGAACCCACAGTTTAGGGTTTCGGGCTTACTTGGAGGGTCAGGGGGACTTAGTAAGTAGGTTAATGACCCCTGTAACCCGCATAGTAACTGCGGTTATTTCTTTTATTAACCTGCTTACTGAATCCACGTGGGATTTAGGTTCAGGTTTCAGGGTTTAGCCCACAAAAACTGTCGCAGACCAGTTCCTGGTAATTGCACTAAATGTAGACCTATGATTAACAAACCTCCTGCTTTTAAGGGCCTTTATATTAGGATCCTTATTATAATCCCTAATAAGGGGAGGGGTTTATTAATCAGGGGTCTGGGTTGCGGGCAGTGACGCACAAGGGCCTGCCAGCGTAACCCTGGTTATCCTAATTATTAACCTTCTTACTAAGTCTCCATGACCCTAAACCCTAAACTCTTCACCCTAAACCCTGGGGTTAAGGTTTCAGGGTTTAACTCAAAAAAACTGTCGCAGACCAGGTTCCTGGTAATTGCACACTCCATGGGCAGTGACGCACAAGGGCATGCGAGCACGCCCATATCCCTGCTTAGGACAGCGGTGGCTCTTCGGCCTGGTCTTTCTTTCTTGTAGACTTACAATAAGGGAGCATTTAGGGTGAAGGGATTAGGATTTAGGGTTTAGGCTTATGGGTGTAGGGTTTAGGGTGTAGCGTTTGGGGTTAGTAGGGCATAAGGGAATAGATTATACAGAGATTGTGTAGGGATTATATTCCCTTGTTCCCTACTAACCATCAGCAAGTAGTTGTACCAGATGGTTTAGCTGAAGGCATGATGTGAGGTAGGATGTTGCACTGGGCTTTGGTGAGTGTACATAGGTTTGTTAGAAGTATTGGTGGGTGTATATAGTATACATTTAGGTGTGAGCTTGGGGAAGCAGAACTTCCAAGCTTACCATATATTCAGTCTTAAGGCACAAAGTCCCCTAAACCCTAAGCCCTCAAGCCTCTCAAAATTCCTAATTTTTGAAATTTCAAATCTTCAAAATCCCAAATCCGCCCCAAACCCACCCTAAGTAATGGTAATCAACCCTAAACCCTAAACCCTAAAACCCTAAAGCCTAAACCCTAAACCCTAAAACCCTAAACCCTAAATCCGAAACCCTAAACTGCAACCCATGACAAAACCTGGAGTGGCCTCCAGCAGCCGCGCTTGTCCCAATTGGGAGGTTGTCAAAATTATGGTTCCTTTTTGGATCCCAATTATAATGCGGCACCTAATATTTAGGGTACCCAAAAAGGGACCATAATCTTGACAACCACTCCAATCTTTTCCAAAGGCAGTGACGTGGCGAAACCGCTGCGAGCACGCCACATACTGGGGTTTAGGGTTTAGGGTTTAGGGGTTTAGGGTTTAGGGGTATAGGGTTTAGGGATTTAGGAATTAGGGCCTGTACAGACGCGGGAGTTTCTCAAGTAATTTCTTCGACAATTCATGATGAGGGTCCCAAATCCCCTCATTATCTCAATATGACCTTGGGTCCTGGCACCCCCCATTTTGAGAAACTCTTGATGAAACTTGCTTAGGAGTTGAATGGTAGTTTTCCTGGCGATCACGCACATCCGCAATTGGCATGTGCTGCAATTCAGGTTGGCTCCCTGAGGTTTGAGACTTGTGAGTTGACGGATGTTGGATCCTGATGAATGTAAATGCTGAAGGGCGCACGTTTACTTTCCAAACCCTACACCCTATCTTTTGATATCTTTTGATAGAGTAGTTTCCGTTTTCCTTTCCATCACATAGAAAACATGAGTATATATCCCTCTGAATAGACTGTTCGGTTATCCGGGCTGCGGTCAGGAGGAGCAAAGCCTGGTTTGCCGCGTGATCTAGCCATAAGCCTCTGGCTTTAACTCAAGTCAGAGGTTGAAACCATGGGCCCCTAGTATGGACGCTTAATCCTGGGATCCTTATATACCTACTTTCTACCCTATATGTAGCCTCAAGGGTCCCTAGAACCTCCCTAAAAGGCCTAAGGGCCCTGTTTAGGGGCCCATACTTCTAACCTTAGATGTAACCTTTACACCCTAAACCCTAAACCCTATATAACACCATTATCGTAGTTTCCATTAGATTTTCCATTATCCCCCATATTAGGGGCCCATACTTCTAACCTTAGATAAGGAATGCGGACCATGGCCAGTCTTTCTGCGCAGCATTCCTCCAGCTCTGGTGGAGCAAGGGCAGGGTTTTAGGGTTTTGGGCTTTGATTGGTTCAGGGTTTAGGATTTTGATGGCTTGCGGGTTTAGGGTTTTGATGGGTTTAGGGTTTTGATGGGTTGCGGGTTTAGGGTTTTGATGGGTTTAGGGTTTTGGGTTTTGATGGGTTCAGGGTTACTTGTTTTGATGGGTTTAGGCTTCAGGGTTTTGATGGGTCTAGGGTTTAGGGTTTTGATGGGTACCATTGGGGTAATATTGGGATAATGGGAAAGAGAATGGAAATTACTATTTAGGGTTTAGGGTTTAGGGCTTTCACGCATTCATCCAAAGGTTTCTTCACATGCTCTAAGAGGTAGGCGATGGGTTACCTGGTTGAAGCTGCAGCCTTTGACACCTGTGGCCTTGGCCGGTTGAAACTGTTGCAAGCAGTCTGAATCTTATCTGCTTGTTTTGCAAAGTTACAACTCGCTCTTGCGCATG